GAGAGAGAGAGAGGGGGGGGAAGGGGAATACGCGCGGATGACGTGGTGGATTGAAAGTGTCACTGTACAAAATCGGTAGAGGCACTCTCTATTTATCATATTTCGTATGTAGGGCGGCGCAGATAAATCGATACGCGGCACTTTCATTCATGGCTGCCTCTCTCACGGTTGGCACATTGCTCTACGTACCACCCACGCCGCCGAGGACCACCACACTCACAGTGTACATAGTGTGTAGTCTAACTCCGTGTGGTGGCACAGTGGTTCTCCGTCTGGTCGACGGAGGGGGGGGTGACAGACGTTCGCCGTTATGCAAATCCTGACGTTGCGGAAATTTCAATGCTCGCGGCGTTAGAACGACGTACGTCGAACGTCCGATCGTTTTGCACCTTCTCCTCCCCCCCCCCCCGAAAACATTTCCGGACGACGAAAAATTCATAAATCCGAAGGAAAGAGCTATGACGAATAATCGTCACCCACGTTTTCTCTCTTTAGTTAAATGGTGGAAAGTTTAATTGACCAAATCCACTTGCAAAATTCACGCTCGATCGGCCCTTAGTCCTTGAACAGATGACGTTTCATGACGTAAGCATTCGCGTGGGGAGGAGGGGGAAGGGATGCATTTCACATTCTATTTATAAGTCATTGTCATTAGTAACATGTAAACGAGTCTTCTTCTTTTCTCTCATTGTACGATAACAGCCGCATAATGGCCCGACAATAATAATTCAGTCGTTGAAATTGATCGAGAGGCGAGAAATATAAATTACATTCCGCGCGTTATTTCCACGAAAGAACTTTCATGTTTCTAAAGTCCGAAAATCCTGGAACGGGGATACTCAAATACGCTAAGATTTCGAAATAAGGTCTCCGCTTCTTCTCCGGCTCTTTCTCTTTTTTTCCTCTTCCAATTCTTTGCAGTTCAACGCAAGTTGCATCTCGTGCATCACCCGTACATCCCTGCACCGCCGCATCCCTCGGAAGCGAGCAACAGCGCGCACGTCGATATTACGTCGGCGTACATCCGCTCGCCCGTCCATCCATCCATCCATCCATCCATCCAGCCATCCATCCATCCAGCCATCCATCCAGCCATCCAGCCCGTCCGCCCGGCCGTTCGTTCGCGTTGAGTGACGACAGTTGACATTAGTCGTCGCGCACGAGGCATCTGGTGGCATTCTTAAATTAGTTAAACTAGTGCATCGAGAGAGAGGCTAACCCAGTTATGCGAAAGGGGGATATCGAATAAATTCACCGCGCAGCCGCGTATCGGAAGCCTGCGAACGACGACGCACACACATGTACTCCCGGCCCTTTTCGCCGCCCGCTCTCGTCCGCTCTCGCACGCGACGAGAGAAGCGAAGGGAATCACGGCGAGGAATGGGGGTGGAAGAGGGTTGAAGGCGGGGAGAGGCGCGCTGCTCTTTGAAGTCGGTCCACCTGCCTCCAACGGCACCCGCCACAGCACACAATGCGATGGCGGGTGGCGGCGGTGGCGGTGGCGCGAGTGGAGAACAGTCCTCGCGCCAGGCGGATTTTCCGCTGGGTGATGCTCGCCAAAGGATCTATTTAAAGGATCGGTTCGGTCGTCCGTCTTCGATCGCGACTCTTGACTTCCGACTTTTCCCTTTGAGGCGGCCGGCGCGGCGTTCCCGGTCATCGAATTTCGCCCCGCGGACGCTCCGTGTCGGTACGATCTTCGAACGTGCGTCCCCATGGAAAGGAGCGTCGTCGATCTCATGATGTTCCTGGATGTCTGCCAGCTTTATCTGCACGCCAGAAAGAAATCCCGGAATCTCTGCACGCTCTGGGCGATCCTGACGTTTATCCGCACGGAGGACACCGGTGATTTTATGCGATGGTGTCGAGCGTACACGGTGCCCCGCTTGCGGTACCGCTCGGACCGCGCCAAGAAAACGGAGAAGACGGAGAAGCCGAGAGCCGACAAACTGATACTCAGGGTGTTGCAGGAATTGTTCTATTGCGGGTGTCTGCCACCCTGTGAAATCGGTCTATGAGCGAAGATGCTACGTGTGTTACCACGTCGTATCGTCGTGTAGTTAAGTAAACGTGCGTACGGGACGACGCGAGATAATATCTCTCCTCAGTCCTGATGCAACAGGCTGCGAGCTTGAAAATCAACAAAATGCACTTGTTGACTTGTTTCGGTATCCAGAGTTTGTACTTGTAGAAGGATAGAGATCAGTTTTGAGTATCTCAGTATCCCGCTCAGTATCTTCCTGATCCTGTCGTTTTCTCGATTCTCGAGAAGTGCCTTCGATCGAGTACGATTTAGAGAGATTAAATGTTTCTTTGTAGCATTGTGAGCGCACATGTGGACGAGGATAAATCACCTTAGCGAGAGGGATGTCTGAGAGCGACGGAGAGCATGCAGCTCGCTCGGTGGCCTTAGAGCAAGCCTACGTCCACGAAGTATACGAGCAATGCGCCGAGAAGACCACGCAAAGTAAACACTGGCCACGAGTATATCAGTTTCTTCAAGAACTCGAACCGGGTGCCCTCGTCTGCGACATCGGTCAGTCGAAAATATTTTTTGCATGCGCTTCTCCCTTCCTTTTTTTCAAATAAATAGCTTTTGTCGATTCCGTTGCATCTGTCGAGACACAATTCCGGTAAAGCGATCCGTCGCATAGTGGCTTGCATAGTTAACAAAGTTTGTCCCCCGCACGCTTTACAACATTTCTATTATCTCTCCGTCCACGTAACAATGTTATGTCTGCATCGTCCAGGTTGCGGCAACGGAAAATATCTCAGCGTAAATCACAGCATCTTCAAGATAGGGGTGGACCGATGCAAGCGCTTCACCGACATCGCGCGCGAGAAAGAAAATGAGGTATATCTACATTAATTATTAAAAGTCTTTTTATTTTTTTTTTTTTTTTTAATTAATTTTATACCGTATCGATATTCTTATTATATTTTATAGAAACTGCGTGTCCTCTACGCAAGAGAATTAAATTGTTTGCAAATACGTGCGAATAAACTATTGTTGAGTATTTTACTTACTTACTTACTTACTTACGGGATCATATGTTTTGTATTCCACAAGGTTCTAATCTGCGATAATTTGGCTCTACCATTCCGAGAAGAAAGTTTCGATGCGGTACTGTCGATCGCCGTGGTGCATCATTTCGCCACAACTGAGAGGAGAGTACATGCGTTGAAAGAATTAGCGCGAGTCCTAAGAATCGGAGGTCGACTCGTCATATCCGTCTGGGCTATGGAACAAAAGCATAGAAAGGTAAAGAAAGATATTTCCTCTCTCTCTTAAATCCTATAAAGCATTGATATCTCTTAAATGTATTGGGATTATGAATCATGTTATTATTATATTACGTTTGCAGTTTGAGTCGCAAGATGTTTTAATACCATGGCCCAAATCGCAATGCATGAGCGCAGCGTCAGATGGGACGAAGCATTCGGGTGCATCAGACGGTAATAACGAGAAGCGAGATGATGACACCGCACAGAAATATCCGTCATTCTCCAAGAGGTAAGTTTTCGGGAAATTATCCATCCTGGAATCACGTTCTCACATTGACAAGATTGACCGTAACTTGTCCTCATTCGATTTCTGCACTTCCTGTAAATATCGCATGTAGGTCACAGCTGTCATGGTTTATTGTTCCAGAAATAGCCAACGAAAATGTAAAAGCAAGAGTTATTGGATCGATCCGATATTCAGCTTATCACCATCCACCAGTAGCCTCTCTAGCCCGAATGAGACTTGTTATAGTTGCTTCCGGCGAGCGTTGCAGGTAACTAGATAGATGAGGGAAAGAGAGAGAAAGAAAGAGAGTGTGTGTGATCATCCATGAATTTGGAATTTTAAGCTTGACTAACTGTTAAAATTATTTGAATATATTTTTGGCAATTTATTTAAAATATTTCGTATTGATATCGTTATCTCTTCTCGCACGCGCTTATATTATTAGTTATTATAACAATTATTTAGTTAAATATAAAAAATTAATCATTATTTATTTAAATTTATTGATTTACTTAGCTATTGTTACTTTCTTTTAAGAAGAAAGAATTTAATTTTTTTTATTTAATCGATTTTTTTTATGTATTTAAAGTTTATAAAATATTGTTCAATTATTTTCAAGTATTTGTTCAATTATTTACGACTTGTACAATTCTTTACAGAAATTAGCAAGGAGTAGACGTGGAGGTGGCGGTCGTGCATGGTTTCCTGGAAGTTGGCAGAGCGGTACCAAGAGTCGACGGCACTATGATGCTGAAGACACAACTGACGTAGACGAACTGCCGATCGAATTGCGCCGCGTAGAGACCACGCATACGCTGATGATGACGAACAAGCATTCCACGGACACGTTAAGCATCAAATCCAAAAGCTTGGGTGATATTCTGGAGATTGAGCGACTCGATTTGGTACGTTCCCGATCCAGTATCCCGGGTTTCTACTCGACGTCCGAATTGATCCTAGACGAGCGATCGGTCTCGTCGTCGTCAAGCGGCTCAAAGCCGCGACTGGTGAAACAAAAGTCGTACGTGGAGGAGATCGGTTTGGAGAATCCCGAAGACACTGCCATTGAAAACCTGATCAAGGACCTCCCGGATTTCTCCTGCCAATCGTTGCGCAAGCGCAACGTGCCGTTGAAACAGAGCTCGATGAACGAGGAGCTGATGTCGACGGAGCGGCTGGAGGAAAAGGAACGAGTGCGCCGGAACATCATGAAACAGGCGTCGTTGAACGAGGAACTCATCTGCAAGTGGCGAACATTCGAGGCGCTCAAGGATTCGATCAGTCCGGTGAGCGCGAGTCGGCGCTTCCAACTGCTAAAGGATGGGCTGACCAGCAAGATCAAACGCTCCACAACGAACATCGAGAAGGTCTCCAGTATGTCGATTAAGAACGGTTTCGTTCGAATGCTGCAGGGATGGAAATCCTGCGACAGCGAGTCGACGTCCGCCGCGACGGCAGAAGCGACGACGAAGCTGAAACCAGCGGACAACAAGGTGCAACCGGTAACCGTGGTGAAACGTAGCATCGAGGGCGTCGAACGTCGTCTGTCGCGCGAAGATGGCTCGGATTCGTCGAAAGATAGCAGTCTGCAGAGCGATACCAGCGTGGATTCCGAGGACAGCTTTGCATCTGTGATTTATGTGCCGAAACAGGACGTCGCCGTCCCGACACCGCCGGCATCGTCCTCGATCAACGAGGTTCCTTCTGCGCCGCGACCGGCGGCGTTGCAGCTGGGCACGACGTCGGCACCGTCGTCGCCGCGCGTAAAACAGTCGTTGGACAGTCAATCATCCAGATTCAAAGTGATCGGCGTGTCGCCACTGTTGAAACAGCAGCCAAGTGTCACGAGTACGAGCACAAGTACGAGTACGAGCACAAGTACGAGTATGAGTACGAGTACGAGTGCGAATACGAATCACCTTGGCGATACGATAAAGCCTAGTGTGCCAATTGTCATTTGTAAGGAAGCGCTCGATAACACGTTACAGGTACCAGCGTCAGAAGGATCGGGTCTGATATCGGAACTGTTGGAACCGGATATAGAACCAGATACTACGTCATTGATACGTGCTTTCAATGATGTCACCAAGACGGCTAATCGCGAGCCGACCATGAACGAAGATGATAGTCGAAAGGCCAGGCTGAACCAAATCAAGGAGCTGCTCATAGCGAAACCGGGCTTCGCGACACGTGCCAGATCATCGTTTCCGTTGGTTCGGCGTGCCTCCACGGCGGCATCAGGTCGTTTCGAGACAGTCACGAGGATTCTGCCGCGTCTGCTGTCCTTAGAACTGTTCAATCCGGAAACCGATGACTTGGATAGCGATTCCAGCGGCGTCTCATCGCCGGAATCGGTCGGCTCGGTGATCAGCGTTACGTCGGATGAACGCTACATCGCGAGAAGGGAGGCTGAAGAGAGGAAAAATGCGCAGACAGATGAGAGTCTTTCCAAGTCGAACGAGGACGACGCATCGAAGAAGACAAAGGAAACGGAAAGTAGTATACGCGACGATGAATCTTTGAGTATTGGAACAACATCACTCGAGGATTCGACTACACCTCTGGATCCTTCGCACGACGACTCGTCCGCGGATTTCGAAGACGAACCGCCCATAAAAACCGGGCTGACGCACGATGACACTTCTCAAGATAATTTAGGGCCTGACACGATTTATCCTACTTCGCACATTCTTTTGGAAAGCGAAAAGTCCATTTCCTCACAGTCTATGAGGCTTCTGGAAGCCGCTGCCAATGTGGCGAGCTCGCTCGAAGATGCCGTAGAGACGGCGATTCAACACAACGCCCAAGTAGAACAATTATCGCAATACTCTCAAGTCGCTCAACGGCGGAATAACGACGCGGTCTGGTCGCAGTCGAGCACGCGAACGTATTTGAGGCAGGATTGTAAATCCGCTTTGATGGATTTGGGCGACTATACCAACGAATCGAGTAGCGATCTCATACGAGATATCAGTCGGTACTGCCAGAACTCGTCATTCGATTTTCTCGATGTTTGCCAGATGTCGAGGACCGCGCCATCGTTGAATGTCACGGAAAATAACTTGGACGTGGTATCGGATGCCACGGCTTGCTGGGACGGATGCGATCAAGTGCCCAAGGAGACCTCGTGGATCGTAAACGAAGCCTACGACGGAAGTGGACATGACAAATTCGCCAATGTGGTCCAATCCAAACTGACACCCAAATCCAAATCGCTCTACGAGGACCGTGCCGTCTTTGAGTCCGAACTTGATCGTAAATTTACATGCGATCCTAAGTATAATAAAGTTGAGCTCGACGTTGAGCCTCAAACGAAATTCATATCCAAGTACGATGAAATGTTTAGATTCAATCACGAATCCGAAGAGAAATCAAAAACTGAGGCCGGTCTGGTATCTAGATTCAATCCTAAGTCCGACAGTGATCTCACAGGTGGTATCAAAACCTCGTTTATCAATCCCGAAAGCACGTTCAGTCTCCAGACCGGAACGGAATCCAAATCCAAGGTCGATCGGAAACAGCGTCGTTCCGTTGACGCTTCGTCGTTATTGCGCAGCAACTCGGTGGACGACACGCTGGACTTCGTGATGGTGTCAAAGACGGGCGAGTTTGAGTGCGAGACGGTGGAGGGTTCAAGGCCGGTTGGCAAGTGGCATTCGACCCAGAGCGGATTATCGATGGACTCGAGCGACGTGGGCGACTCTCTGATCGAGAATACAACGACGAGCCTGAGTGACGGCAGCCAGGCGGAGTCGACGGCGAGACTGTTCACCGGCAGCACGATGTCGTTGGTATCGAATCCGAACGTGGAGAACAATCGTCGATGCTCGATGGAGCGGCGGAGACTGCAGGAGCGCGGCCGCTCGTTGGACGAGATGTCGAGCGGGACGAAGAGACGAGACGCCGCGGGCTGTCTGGTCACCGCGAGTACCGACACTTTGAGCAACGCCTCGTCCCAGGAGTCGTTGCCCTCCGATCGCGGCGGCGGCTCCATCACCTATCACCAGTACTATCACGTCTTTCGGGAGGGCGAGCTGGATCAGCTGATCAACAAGTACGTCGAGAACCTGCATATCATCTCATCGTATTACGACCACGCCAGCTGGTGCGTCGTCGCGGAGAAAGTGCAGGTCTGGACTATATGACTTCGGATACGGATCGTCGTGTGAAGGACCAGCGGCTGCTGCGACTCGTTCTCAGGCAGGCTCTTTACCAAGTTGTACACCGGGTGTCTCGATAGGAGATGTCAGCCAGAAGGGATCAACTAGGTTCAACCTTATGAAAATTTGTATCTACTTAGTTTTCACCTTTCATTCGAGAAGTAGTTTCCCGGGACTGTTAATTCAGAAAAATGAAAATCGCAACTCTAAGAAACTGGGAATATAACCATTCTTGAATCTTTTAATTTTTAATGTATAACACAGTTCGCACCATTTTAGGATTTGAATTACGAAACGAACGTGTCGGGGAGGACTCTTACTTTCGAGATAATGGTACTGATCCCCTTTTTTGGGGCACACAATACGTTGTTCCGGTGGGTGGATTCAATGCGGCTAAACGCGGGAAATTTCGCGATTCGAGTGCGAAGCTTACGACTCTAAATTCGTAGATCTAAGAGTCCAAGGATCTCAAATTTCAGGGGTCCAAGAATCCAAGGATTTAAAGGCTCAAGGATTTCATAATAATCCAAGTTAATGAGTTTAATCACAGGTTGACTTTCTAACGGTCTGTTCTCAAAAACTCTGCGACGACCTATATCGCTGTTGAAATATCGCTTTGCGCTCGTTGAACATTCCTTTCACATTTATCTCATTGCGAGGAGATTTCTCTGTCCGTGATGTCACTGAAGTGATGTGATGTAGGAATATAGCTTCAAACTACATAAGAGAGATTAATGATATAAACGAACCAACATAATCGATATATCATGAAATATCCAACAGTAAAAGTAGGAAGCATCCAAGCAAGTAAGAAATGCTTAAAAATATTTTCTTTAGTTTTCGTTAACTCTGATGCAATAATTCTTTTCATGTCCGACTCGTCTGTAGCTGTAGCTTCACTTCAGGGACGTTTTGGACTGCCCATCATTTCATTTATCGCACATCTTGAAACACGATTGCAGAAAGCATGACTCTTCGAGAATACACACTACAAAAAAAAAAAAAAAAAAACGAGAGGAGAGAGAAGCGTTACTCAAACGGTGTCCGTCTTCTCGAAGATTGGTGCAATCTGAATGTACATGCGTTAAGCGTAAAAGTTCAGAAAAATTCAGAAACGGCAACTGGCTCCCAGGCTGTGGAGCATATTTTCTAGCTTCTCGAGAAAACGACAATATCCGAACGCTTGAATATAGATATACCTCAATAATGCGAACGTTCCACTTTCAGAAATGTATACATACATACATACATACGTTTACACACACGTGTTTGCGTACATACGCGTATTAGGACGTTCTTCATTTAGTAGAAACTTCTTGCGTAATTATGCGAGATTCGCGTCGGCGAATTAGATTCGGTATCGAAATCGGCAATAAAATTGAATATGAGTGAGAGGATGGTGGATAACAAACTTGGGTGATTTATTTCGTAAAGAGAGATGCAGAAGATGGGATATTTGCAACCGTCGGATACAAACAAGTAAGGGGCATCTTAATACACGTATGTATTCCATACATATATATATATATATATATATATACACATACACACACCAATACAGATACATACGACATACGTACGTACATACGTGATACATATATATATATATATATATATATAAAAATACATATGTTAGGGAGGGGGATATAAGGATTCAAAGATCCATCGATCTGAAGATTGAATGCTTATATCCTTGGATTCTTCGCCCTAAGTTCTCCGATTTCTCAAACTCCGATACAACTTTTACGTTGTAGAACATTTATTTATTACCGACCCCTCGGGTAAACACATCCTCGGATATCCTAGTTTCTCATGATTAATAGTCCTCAATTTCTGTAAACATTCGATCCGCACGGTTTGCTCCTTAATTCCTTCCAATTCCTAAAACGTACGAAGGATCCCGGTGTGTTCTTACATTTGACATTTTTTTAAATTCATACAAATGAAGCACTCGGCGATTGAAGATCCAAGGATCCAAGCATCCGTTTACGGTATACCGTATACTCACACGTCGCATAGAGCAGGGCATAAATGTAATCTAAGCTTCGTTATTTTTATGATCTCAATTAACTATCGTAGTCGATAGAACGAACGAAGTTTTTATCGCGACCCTTTAACTGGTAAATCGGACGCGATCCCCTTGCGATCAGAGGCAGGCGTGCACTGCAATTGCCGATGATATCATAGGAGGACGTTCATAAATTCCCACAAGATTGTATATCGAGAGTGATAGCAGGTACTCTTATCGAATCTAAAGTTATAACGCAATATTACGTTAAGGATTTTTTTAAGAAACGGGAAATTTGTTCTTCGCGGTTTTCGGCGCACAATATGCGGCAGAACGCACCAATGAAACTAAAAAAAAAAGGAAACGAAAAAAATGTAACAGATAAGGGCAAGCTTGGGATTACTGGTTAAAGGGTAACTCTATCGAGAGGAACAGAGCTGTTGTTCCGTTCGGTTAGTCAGACGCATTTATCGAGTAGTCGGCAATTGTTTTTTTTTTTTTTTTTTTTCTAATTTATGGAATGTATTTTTATTCATATCCGTTTTGAAGAAGGAGGCGCGGGTCTGACCGGATACGTGCGTGCGTGCATGCGTGAATGAAAGAGAAAGGAGAGAAAGAAAGAGCGTTCGAGAAAGAGGGTAGACCAAAGACGCAATCTCGAGAGAGAGAGAGAGAAACCAGTGTAAATATGTAAAATAAAGTGTTCCTGACGTAAACGCACAGAAGATCGTCAGAAGGCATAGTTCCGACTTGTGGCAATTTCGGGGACGAAAACTTCTCGTAGGCCACTCCCCGTTCCTCATCCTTCCTTCCCATCGTGCTGGTCCCCGGGATGCCGTGGGATAAATTGGGAAAAAGAATCGCCTTTAAATAAGTAAATAGTGACCGACGTACTTGACTCAGATTTCCAGGATGCTGCGAGATAAATTGGGAGAAGAATCGCCTTTAATAAGTAAAGTAGCGACTGACGTGTTTAACTCAGATTCCTGGAATGCCGCGGGATAAATTGGGAGAAGAATCACATTTAATAAGTAAATATACCAACCAACATGTGCTTAACGCAGAATAAATATTGACGACATTATTAGGAACAAGATCCCGCTCGATGACCGAAAATGCTAAAAAAAAAAAATCTCTTTATTCGACAAAGATTATCGTTGAAGACATCGATTTTTAATTCTGGGGTCATTTCGCACAAACTGCAATTAACTTAACGAATTGCTCGTCGCAAGACTTTTAATTTTCCTTTTTGTGTGTTAAACAAATAAAAAAACCAATTATTACATTTGTGTCAGCAAGATAGAAAGTGTCATTCGATATTAATTAATCGACAATTATGTTTGGCCGGAATCGTCTTTGGGCAATATCGCTTTTCGCTTGCTACTGGTAAATTAGATCGAATGTAAGTTTCACAACAAGTAATTGAAATTATTTATTTTATTATGAAATTTTTATTATGAAATAGATCGCATTGATACTTCTGGTTCGTCGCGCGACCGCGATTGGTAACTTTTCGAATAACGTTCGATAATGGATTTTCGCAGTAACTCGTCGGTACTTTGTCAGTAAATGGTAATGAGGGAAACGCGATACTTGCGACGAGATGGAGTACGTAGGACTTCGTAGGAGAGACAGGATCGATACTCGGACCAGAATGGCAAAGCGAACATCGCGGAAAAGTTGAATTTATCATAAAAATTATCGAGGTATCTCAAATAGCTTCGGTCAAGCTCGAATTAATTAATTAGTTATTAATTCAACTTGCGTATTCCTGTTTGTCTGTGTAATTAGACACCGAACTAATTAGAGTTTGGCCTTTCCGTTACGTCACGATAATTACCAATAGATAATTAACATAGATTCGAGAAAAAGGGGTAGTCTCTTTTCGAAAGAAGTAAGTCTCTTCGTCATGAAGAAAATGAAGGGGGAAAAAAAATATTTAATTTGCGCGCGTTGTAAGATGCGTCTCTTTGCAAAAAAATTAAAGTCAATTACGGGCCTGAAATTAATGATAGGGGGGGGCCTCCCGCGGCGGAAATTCCCTAGAAAAGCCATCCCCTCGCGCGAAGCGAGACTTTTGAAATAAATGGACCGATTTACATTTTCGGTCGCTTTCTATCGAAACGCTGAGGGGAGAACGACGAGCCTGTCACATTTTGCGACGAAATAGCGCGAGGAGACGCGTTGGAGAACCGCGCAGTACGAGGTAGAATGGATTCTCGCGCAGTATCGAACAAGCGTTAACCAGGTCGACGGCATCGCTCAGCGCCGACGGCGGCGCTCGCTCGCTCTCCGGCGCGTAATCGACGGGAGGAGGCGCCGAGCGCTCGCGGTGGCGCGCGTCCGGGTCTACCGCGCAGTCTACCATCGACCGTTAACCCTT